TCTGTTTCCCACTCGCTGCAATGGAGATTTTCATCTTCATCGTTTTTCTTATTATGGAGGTACAGTGTTACAGTTAGTGATCTATGATGTTTAATATTCAATACGTATGTCTACTTCTGTAGCGAAAAAAGTCTGATTGTTAATAATCTCTGTGATCAATACTGTAAAAGTTTAAGCAAAACACATGAAAACTGAACCCATTAATTGTGTCAACATTTGGTTAACTATAGAGATAATAAGAGTTTAAATGTTAAACCCAAACTCAAGCAGCAGTTTGATAATGATAGATGTAAATGTGGTCAGTCAGTGAGGAGATATTGATTGATTGATCTGTTTTGTGTTGTTCCAGATGCTCCTACTGTTCATGTTTCTCCAGATGTCATTAGTGAGATCAGCTCAGTGAAGATCAGCTGTGAGACACCAGCAGATGTTACAGTGACTCAGTGTTATTTCACTATAATCAGAGAAGATAAGATTGTAAAAGTCAGTCCATCATGTGAGCTGGAGTTCAGTGGTGCTGAATTGCTCATATGGGCAGGTGGAAAATCACCTCAATCAGTCGACATTATCTGTTACTACACAACATATGAGAGAGGAATTAATAACCCATCATCTCCTTCTCTTGCTGCCACAGTGACTGTTCTAGGTGAGACATTTCACTGCTGTTCTTGTGTCTGACAAATTATTATTTGTTTCTTATTAACTTGTTTATTTCACTTTAAACAGACACACTTCAGAAACCCTTCATCAGTGTTAGTGAAGATGATTATCTGCCCACAATATCATGTGAAATACCACTATCAGTCAGAGCTAAATTCAGATGTAGTTTCTACACTGAAGACGAAGCTCGTCTGTACAGAAGTGTCTCTCAGAGGAGTCAAAATAAAGAGAATCATATTTGTATATTTTATCCAAACTACAGTAATCTCTTCACACAGTCAGTGAACAGCAGACAGATAAGCTGTGATTATACAACAGCCACCAAGACTGACTTCACATCCCCACGGAGTGACACAGTCACCATCAGAGGTGAGAATGTTTTTGTTGAAACATACTGTATGATCAGCTTTAAAGATTACAGAAACCTGTAATCCTGTAGCCAGTGTAACTTACTAGTAAATCAGTATTTCAGAATGTCATGGCAGGTGGCTAATTAATAAATGAGAGTCACTAAACTAAACTAATAAAGAAAATATTGAAAAAAAGCTATGTAGTTGTAGAAATCTATCAGACACTTAAAGTTTGCTTGAAACATAAGTTAAGATTGTGCCTTTTTACACTATTGTGACGTTTTGTACATATGGAAACCATGGGAAATAGGAAAAAATGTAGCGCTGTTCATGATTTAATCTTTTGGAAATCGAATGAATTATTGAAAGATGGACATTAACAAAATGAAGGAAGATTGGTCAAGGCAGAGATAAAGCACATGCTGTAAAGACGTATGTTAGTATGGGTCCATAAGAAGAAAAGTGAAAAAAAGTTGTTTTGAGGGGAAGAGAAGGTTATGGTAATTGATAAAAGTTTACGAGGGAATTTTTTTTTTTTTTTACAAATGAATGAAGAGCAAAGATACATCATTAAAAAAACAATACTATATTAATATAAAAATAAGTAGAGTAAATTAAAATGTCATGGCAACTTTACTGTGTAAATTCTCTAAAGAACAAATTGTAAGACCTTTTCAGACAAATCATAGTGTGATCGGATATGTTTAGACAAGATTGAAGGATCTTTTGAGCTGATCATCTGATAAAAGTTGTAAAAAATAGCACTTGTTTTGTAAAGTGTCAATGTAATAACCAGAAATGACAAAAAATCTTTTGGTAATTATTCTCACTGTCTATCATTGTTTTCTTGTAAAAAAAAACTCACTTCATCCAGGAAGAAAGGAAATAAATATACAAACAAACAAAACCATTCATTCATTTTCTTTTCGGCTTAGTCCTTTATTAATCAGGGGTCGCCACAGCGAATGATCTCCCATACACACTTACTCACATACACACATACACTACGGACAATTTAGTTTACCCAATTCACCTATAGTGCATGTCTTTGGACTTGTGGGGAAAACAGGAGCTCTTGCAGTAAACCCACGCCAACACGAGGAGAACATGCAAACTCCACACAGAAATGCCAATTGACCCAGCCGAGGCTCGAACCAGCGACATTCTTGCTGTGAGGCTAACCACTGTGCCAATTTGACACCCAACAAAACCATTAAAATAATATATTATATTATAAGTATTATTGCAGTTATGCAATTTATTAAGAATAAAATAACTAAATAATAAATTACATTTACAATACAATTATTTTTGATTCTCAGCGTGTGAAGAGTCACAGTTTCAGTTTGTTCCAAAACTGGAAATGTGTCAATGTGTGCACTTATTTAAAGAGAAAATTGTTTTGCATTGTTACTGCATGCACACTACATGATTGTGCATGTAAAACTGCATGTGACAGACTTTGAGTGCAAGAAAGCGAGTGAATAAACTGTTTCTGTTTTAGTTTGTCTTATGAGAGTATAGGTCGTTTCTGTGGGCTGCTAGTATGCTATAATTGCATGGCGTGAACAGCAAAACAGAAGTGTAAAAACACCAGGATGTATTTGGGTTATTCTCACGAAACCATTAAAACAACATGGCACTTAAAATGTTAAATATTAAGCTTAGTAATTTGGTTATACAAAAAATATTATAATAAAAACAACACTGTTCTCTATGAAGCACAATGCGTAACTTCAACATTATTTATTTTTAGTCATTTTACGGTGTTTTTTACTTAAATTCTCATTACCAAAACGTCTCCATGTATGTTTGAATGTGTGTTATGTTGTAATTTAAACAAATTAGCACAAAAATTTCAGCATAAAAACAAATTAATTGCTGGGGGTTGTGATGGTCGGTCACGTCTGTCCGCAACGCCACTGAGCAGATATAAACATTCAGTCCTCAAGTCTGTGCCAACACAAATTTGTTAAGTTAGCTTAATAGTTGTGGATTTAAGTGGATTGAACATACAACAATTAAGTTGTTCCAACAAAATTAAATTGTGTCATTTCAACTTAAACAAGTTGTTTGAACAAGCAGAAAAAGTAATTTTGTGAGTGCACATTTGTCTGCTGCTGTGCCCAATTCTGACTCTACAGTAACACTGATGATACTGTATGCTTTAGGTTAGAATTGGAAATAATTGCACTGTCACCAATTCTTTTCATAATTTATATGGACAGAATTTTAAAGCGCAGCCTTGGGCTGGACGGGGTCTGGTTCGGGGATTTTATCTCTGTTATTCGCAGATGATGTTGGCTTCAACGAACATGGACCTTCAGCATGCACTGGGGTGGTTTGCTGCCGAGTGTGAATCAGCACCTCCAAGTCCGAGGCCATGGTGCTCCACTGGAAAAAGGTGTTTTGCCATTTCCAGGTTGGAGGAAAGTCCTTACCCCAGGTGGAGGAGTTCAAGTATCTTGGGGTTTTGTTCACGAGTGAGGGAAGGATGGAATGTAAGATTGACAGGCGGATTGGTGCGGCGGCAGCAGTAATGCATTCGATGTACCGTTTGGTTGTGGTAAAAAAAGAGCTGAACCGAAAGGCAAAGTTTTTGATTTACCGGTCAGTCTACGTTCCTACTTTCACCTGTGGTCATGAGCTTTGGGTCATGACTGAAAGGACAAGATCTCGGATACAAGTGGCTGAAATGAGTTTCCTTCACAGGGTTGCAGGGTGCACCCTTAATGATAGGGTGAGGAGCGCTGACACCCAAGAGGAGGTCAGAGTAAAGCAGTTGCTCTTCCACATCAAGCAGGTCATGCAACTAAGGTGATTTAAAGGCTCAGTAACTACACAAGCATTCAGAGAGCTGAGGAATCTGCCTTTGATTCACACGGCCAAAAACAAAACCACAATCTCCCATAGTCTAGTGGAGCATATGTGTGCATAATGCAACTCTGCTGTGAGTAATCTAAGTTCGAATCCCGACTTGTTTCTTACAGTACAAGTATTCAAAAATTATGACATTGTCTTTTATGAATGTAGATTTTTTGTTTAATGAACAAAACAACACAAATTCAGATGTCAGTCTTATGTTAAAACAAAACAGACAAGAACGGAGCAACAAAATAAGACATTTTAAATTATTACAATTGCTTCATCCTGGATTTAAACCCTTTGCATCCTCATGTCAGTCAAGAACACTAACCACTCCACTAAATCACTTGATGTCTCGTTGAAACAATGTGGAGTATAATTCCTTAATTCGCATAGCAGTTTCATTGTGGAAGTCGTTTAAAAGCAGTACTTTAAAATGACCACTATAAAGAGGAATTTGATGATGATGATGATGAAAAGCCTTTATTTGTATCACACACATTTTACATTCAGTGAAATTAAACCAATTTGTGATCTAATGCCACAGTCTGAGTACCAACAACCCTGCTTACCACTGTTTCAATTCAGCCGGCCAGCTTGGTGGGGTTTTGAGCTGCACTGATCGCTTTTACCAATCATTGATACCTAAACCTTCCTAAACCCATCAGCAGAAACCCTGTTATCAAAGTTCCGAATAAATATCTTCAATATCCTCCAGGGACAGAGCGATCAGAGAATCGATCAGAATGATCTTCAGCTGTGTGTTTGTGCATATATCAGTCCAGATTGTTCACAGCTGTAATGGGTGTTGATTGGCGCTAAGCTTTATGGTAGTTGTAGTCCATGTTAATGACAGGTAGCATACAGATAGACAGAGTGCTCTCTAATGAGTTTAGTGGGCACTCTAGCTGATAATCATAACACCAACTACTGGGTTACATTTTTTAAATAAATGCATAGCCCAAGTTTAACTCAGCGGTTGGGTTTGTCCACATTGTACACAAATATAGACAAACTCAACACCCGAGATAAAGTATGTTCAAATCCAACATTTTTAAATGCAGACAAAGAATTGGTAAGACAACAGCAAACTCACTGTACACATTATTATTATTTTATATTCTCCCTTCATCAGGTCTTTCTCAGGCCAGGCTGTCAGCATCTGCTTTAGTTCTTCAGGAAACAGACACAGTTGAGCTGAGCTGTAATAATACTGAAGAGCTGAAGATGGAGATGTGTGTCTTCAACAAATATGAAAGAGAAAGTGACTCAAAAGTGAGCTCTTCATGTCAGCTCTCACTCACTGCATCTCAGATCAGTGCTTGGTCTGGAGATCAGAGTTCATCAGTGAACATAACCTGCTTCTACACTGTGAGGAAAGGACACAATCAAACACCATCTCCTCAGTCTGATCCAGTGACAGTAACAGTCCAGAGTAAGTTAAAAGGGCTTGTACAGTATCTTTGACTTGTAAATTGACTTCTAATAATTCTGGTAGTTGTCTCTGCAGCTTCAACACCAACCACCACAGCATATACTACTACAACAGCCATGAAAACATGTGAGTAACTGAGTTTGTAAATGAAGAAGACATTTACTCCATTGGAAAATGCCTTCTATAAAGATCAGTATTACTTGTTAAACATTTAGTATACTGTACATCACTGCAAATTTCACAATTTCTTTCAGCAACGTTAACTGTAACACCAACTCCTGCAACCACAACAAACACAGAATCTGGTAAATTACTGATTACAGCCTTTCTGATTATTCTCAATTGATTTTGAGAAATTACTGTGATTTATCTTTTTTTAGACTTCCAATCACAGACAGATTCCATGATACAAACCCTGGGTAAGTTCATCACTCTAGTTAAATGGCAAAAGCAATACAGGTTCATTGGGAAACATGCCCAGGGCTATATTTTTCAGAACCGAGAAATATTTGTTTGCGGCTACATAATGCCTGCATTTTTTTAAATATAAAACGAACGATATGGGGTGGTACCGCTGACTACATATCTCCGAAGGGTTTTTCCGGTGTGACGGTTTTGCTTGGTAGCTCACCATAAATGGCACCAGATGTTTTTTTGAGTCTAGCAAAAGACAGTTCCAGAAACCAGTTAATACGAAACTCCAGAACAGCAGTGCGAGTTCTTGGTATAGTACACAGCCGTAATGGCTTTTCTGTTCTAGTCTGTTTTTGAAAACACTAATGCTTGGGTTTAGAGAAAGGGGTGTGTGGGTCAGTCGATATCAAGCTGGCAATTTTCTCTAATGGACATGAGCGAAAAGGACATTGAGATGGTCAGAAATGTAGAAAGCAGCCTCCGTTGGATTTGTGAAAAACAAAATCAGCAAGTACACATAGTTCATGACACTTTTTTTTTTGTGGCGGGGGGGAGGGGGGGGGGGGGGAGGGGGGGGGGTTGGGGGGTTCAAAAATCTCACCCAGGGCACATACTTCCAGTAAGCCTTGGTTGGATAAATGTCATTGTGGAGAGATAACCAGTTGGATTAAAAAATAAAGCTTAATGGTGAGGGGGAATACAAAATAAATTTAATTTAAAGACAAGACACATTTGTTTATGAATTATGTATTTTCTTATCCAAATATTCTATTTTAATAATATAACTACAAGCTTTGACGAAACTACAGTACGTTATTCTGCAGTCTCTATATTCTCCCTTCAAGCAAAACATTTTTTAATTAAAAATAACGACAAAAGGCAAAGTATGGCACATACTTTTGGCATGCTACAAAGCATTTTTTTGCTAAATGTTAAAATGATGGCTGCTCAAAATATTGTATTACACTAATATAGTTACTGTTTCACTTAATATGTTTGTTTTTAATTTGTGCCCTCATTTTTTTGGGGTGGGTTGAATCCTGAATGACATAATTATATTGTACAAGTTCAGGTTTTCAGAAGTGCCATATGTGAATGTATTTTTAATATAATACACAACATTTTATCTCCAATTGTATCTCCAGTGTCATTTTAATGTTTATTATAAAGATATATAAGCTTTTCTTAAGGTAAATGTCCTTTATAATTCCAACATATGATGTTCTTGATGATGATTGCAGTTTAAACAAAAATGTCCACTTCAAAAGCTTCACAAACAGACACAAAATCATGTGAGTAAAGTTTAGAGTAATAAAATAAAAGTTTTCTTTCAAAGTAACACACACAACCCATTTCACAATTTATATTTCAGCAACATCAGCTTTCATTTTTTCTACTCAAATTCCAACAATATGTATAATGTATAATGTATTTTTAATATAATACACAACATTTTATCTCCAATTTTATCTCCAGTGACCTTTTTATTGTTTATTATAGAGATATATAAGCTTTTCTTAAGTTAAATGTCCTTTATAATTCAAACATTTGATGTTCTTATTGCAGTTTCAACAAAAACGTCCACTTCAAAAGCTTCACAAACAGACACTAAATCATGTAAGTAAAGTTTAGAGTAATAAAATAAAAGTTTTCTTTGACAGAGTACGCTGTAACACACAACCCATTTCACAATTTATATTTCAGCAACATCAGCTGTCATTTTTTCTACTCAAATTCCAACAATATGTATAATGTCTCATAAAAAAAAATAATAAAAAAAAATATATATATAATATAACTAACAAATCATACACACACATTTTATAAGGTAGAATGCCGTATCTAAAGCACCAATATTAAACACATTCCTGCATTAAAGTGTTGGTTCTGTTTGGTTACAGTTATATGGCTTATAGTGCTGGTTTGTACTGGTGTTGGTGTCATTTTATCTGGATTCCTGGGAATCATCTGTGTGTGCTGGTTTGCAAGTAAGTCATGTTTACAATGGTATACTCCAATTTTATTAGGGATGCATGACATATGAGTAGGATCAGACTGAATCTGTGGAGGTTTTGTGCTATTTCTGTGGAGAATTTTGGTAAAAATTTGCGGATTTATGCAGAATAATTTTGGGAGTTTCATAATAAAAACCTTTACATGTGAATTAAAAAACAGATCAATTTTGAACTTTTATTTAATGCTTAAAATGCAAATCCAATTAGATTCACTTTATTTGGTAAACAAAGAAAATCTCTCATATATATCTACTAAAAGACAGAAAATATTACTGTACAAACTGCATTGTACATAAATCAGATGAATATTTTCATATTTGTCAATAATATTACTGTAATTAATTTAAAAACTGAATAAAAATATATTTACACACATTTACTCACGTAAATAAAGAGAATTAATGATGGACTAAAAATCTGCAGAAAATCTGTGGAATTCTGTGCGTGCAGATTCTGTGTAGGCCTACATATGAGCTGTCATATTAGTGATTATACAATAAATGATAATATTTATTTTTAATGTTGTTATGAACCCTGTAAGTATCCGCCTTTTGGCTGAAATCCTGTATTATTCTTCTGAAAGGTTCCCTTCACATGTTTTCTTCTGGCCATAAGGGGTTTAGATTTCTGCATTCTGCATAAAGTATTTTGCTATAGAAAAGATGTCAGCACTGTAGCGTGGAAAAAAAGACAACAATGGAATAATATATTGTAAATGATTTTGCAAAAAGAAAGATCAAGATGCTTCCTGGTTGTTTCCTTACTTTCTTCAGACGAGTTTTCAAAATAAAATGAGTCCAATTTTTTTCTGCAATCAAGCTTTATTTAAATCTAGATATATGTTCAGGATGTATAAAGAGTTATCGATTATGAGTATCAGGCAAAACGTCCAAATCTGTGCATCCCTAGAATTTTTCAGGTGAATTTAATTAAAAAGTTGGCATCAATAAACAGCTGCATTAACTCTCAATTGTTTTATAGGGAAAAGAAGAAGAGAATGGTGAGTGTTTTTTAATGCATCTAATACAGTAGTCTGTGAAATCAATTGCAAGTTATTTATCAGTGAAAAAGCGTGTGTAAATGCTTCCTATTTGGTATACAGTATACATCCATAAAAAAATCAATAAAGATCCACATTTGATTCTAGCAATAAGATGAAATCCACAAAACCAGATGTGTCCAGTCAAGGAATTGATATGGTGAGTGTCCATGCATTTACAATCTTATGAATCAATTAAGACTATAATAATGCATAATAAAAGTTACATAGCTTTTACATATTCATTGTTAATTAGAGTGGTTCTGGACCACCAGAGTTATATTCTCTGATCACTTCTGCACCGGACACATCTCAGCCTGTACTTGAGGGTAAGAAAAAATATCCATCACAGGAAATGATCACAGATAATGCGATGCTCAGTGACAGACGTGACTTAAAATGAACACGCAGAGTTAAAAACGCCTCCACCAGCTTCTCAGAAACTGCCCTCATTTCATTTTCTCATTTCAGAACTATTAATATGTGAAGTTTAGTTGCAGACGTGTTTTGTCCTGCTTTTCTATTGTTTAACAATCATCATCATGCTGTTTTATCAAAACTCTTGTGCACCCAGATTCCCGTCAGCACAACACAGCAGACCCTGCAGACACTTTCATGACTGTAAACCCAATGTACCAGTGCTCAGGTGATGAAAACTTAGCTTAAAAATATTGACATTAAATATTTATTTATTTTTATTTTTTTAAATAAAAGCTGCTTTTATTACAACTAAAATAAAACAAGTAAGATTTTCTCTGAAAGAAAAAGTAGGAAATACTGGTAATCATCATTTGGAAAACATTTGAGAAAAAAAAAATCTTAGGAGGACTAATACTTTTGACTTCGGCTGTACTTGTTAATCACTCTATTTCATTGTAAACATTGTAATACACAATCCAGGTTTAGCTAATTATTTTTCAGCACCCCGGGTTGTCTTGATGGAGAACTGCGTAGTTCATTCAGTCAGTCAGTAAGGCTCTCAAAGCATGCGTTCGTGAGTGAAATGTGACCTCCGGTGGACAGTAGCAGACTTTGAAATGAGATGCAGATTCAGAGTTCCACATGAGGTGGTTATTAAATAGCAAATAATATAAATATTACGAACGTAAACATTAAGTGAGCAGGTTACTTTGTAACCCTGTGTCCTAACAACATGATACGTGATAAGATTTGCAGTGATGAGAAATTTGTCTGTTTGCAAAAGACATAACAGCCACTCATAAGCATAGAATAGTGCACTCACTGCACTCCAATCAATTGGTAATGTTTATTATCTAATTAATACACATTAAACCTCATCACGTTATTAAATGTAGATGCTGAATCACTGATATGTGTTGGCTTACACTGAGTCACAGTTCTTAAGTTTACTTTCAAACTGTTTATTTTATTTTCAAGATCTGAGGTGAACTATCTGCTGCTGCTTTCAGTAGTATGGCAATAAATGTAAATGTAAAATGCCATTAAAACTCACATTGTTGTAACTTTTAATATAAAAAAATCTTGTTCATCAAGTGTGAAACATGTTTATTAAAGTGATATTATGCTTCTGCACTGCATTTCAGATATTTCAGTCAATAAAAAAATACAGGGAAATACCAAGGAAAGTGAGGTATGAACACTGTCACACACTAAATAGTCATCCACCGTTCACAAAAAACTCACACACTTTCTGTATTTCTTTCTCCTTAAGAATGTTTACCACCTGTACGGCACCATCCCTGATAAACCAGTTCAGTCCAGCACTGGAGATCAAGAATACAGTTTGGTCCAGATGCACCGATGAGCCTCAAAACATTCATTATGTACAGAATATCAGCTGTACAGTATGTGAAGAATCTTTACTTACTAACAGATTTTAACTTTGGCCATAATGGTTAACCAGAAAACGGTTTCCTCTGCTGACAACAACCAAAAATAGCTTGTTAAATGGTATATGAAAGCTGAAATAAAAGATGTCATAATAAATGAAAAATGGTTTTACACATATGTTCATGCTAATTCATATTCTTATTTTTACATTTCATCATTACTGTATGTCTCATTGTATATATATGTATACACTGAAAGCTTTATGGACCCTTTTCACATTTCCAGGTTTCACAGTAGTGGAAGTCGTCATAGTTGGGTAAACTTATAGTGCAGTGAATGGGAGAGTACAACTGTTACAGTCACCAGTGATCTATCTACTGCGGATCATTAGAGAACTACAACTCCCAGCATGCACCTTGGACACACCGGTTCCTCATTTGCATACAGCTAGTAATTCATCATGGACTTATATATTGGACTATAAAAACAGCACACACACACAGACTTCAGTGTTGAGTCTTGTTTTACTTGTAGCATTATGAAACGTTTCTCCTTGCCTTGCCGATTTTGATCTTTTGCTTTGTTTATTGATGTTAGCCATCTGAACAGGCCTTTTGAATTACCCCGCATGATACTGCTTGCTCCTGTGTTTGACCATTGCCAGCCTGACCATTCTTTGTTTAATAAAGACACTGCCATTGGATCCTCACCTCAGTTGTCCCGAACCTTATGTTACAACAAATATGTTTTTATAATCCTATTTGCTTAAAAAATAACAGAATAACTTGGTGTTTTCATGACTTTTAGAAAAAGTAAAAATGTGTGAGACTGAGAACGGCAGCCAGACAAGAGAACAACATCAAATATACTGTCCTGCCCATAACCACTACATTTCAAATGCCTTGCAAAAGCAGCAATTCGTTTTTTTGTAATTTGATGCAGATTATTTAATACATACATAATTAATTACATATAAAAAGTTCATACGTTTTTTAAAAAAAAAAATCTGACCACTAAAACATGTTAATTTTTCATTCAACCAGATACTTTTGGTGGGAGCAGTGAATTTCTGGGTGCAGTTCACTTTAAGATCACCGGTGTCAAAGGGTTTAATTATAATAGACTCTTCATAATGATCAGCGATTGATGTAATTACTTTTACTCACTCACTATTCTAAGGCTTAGTCCTTGATTTATCAGGGGTCTCCACAGAGGAATGAACCTCCAATTTCTCTGGCATATGTTTTATGTTGTGGATGGCCTAACAACCACAACCCAGCACTGGGAAACACCCATACACTCTCTCGCTGAAACCTACTCATACACTACAAGCAACTTAAATTATTCGATTCACCTATAGCGCATGTCTTTGGACTGTGAGGTAAACCCAGAGCACCCGAAGAAAACCCACGCCAACACAGGAAGAACATGCAAACTTCACACAAAAATGCCAATTGGACCAGCCTGGACTCAAACCAGTGACCTTCTTGCTGTTTTTACAGTCCTACAGTTTTTGATGCAGAAGCTTAAGTTGATTTGTATCAATTCTGCATAATGCAAATCTACAGTATGCCTTCATTGGCTGCCCACAATCAACATCTGCTTTGATACACAAACACTAGTTGTAGCTAAAACCTGGCAAAGTTTGGTTTGTAATATTAACATGTTAAGAAGAGATGAATGAGTGTTAAAATTAAACCTACTGTAAATATTTCATTTCAGACAGAAATATGCCACATTACTGAACTAAAGTATGTTGGAACTTTTGCTTCATGTGCACTGGTGTCCAAAATAGCCTGATTGGGCCTCTTTGAAGACATTTTGGATGATTGTTGAGTATAAGTTTCAACAGTAACCTCCTAACAAAGGAATAGACTATTTTTGGGGGGGGAATAAATCCTATATTGTGCTTCTGAGACTTAAAAATATCTGAATTATTCTTCAGAATCACTAGTTTTTACACCATTTACACAAAATAGAAAAAAGATGCAATTTAGTAGAACATTGTTATAAACTATTTCATAATAAGTGTAACTAGTGCTCTACTTGTTTAGTAATGTGTTATTAGTTGGTATTATTTCCTCTGTCAAACAATTGACCATTTAATGAGAAACTGTGTCCGCTTGACTTTGATGTTTCTATTTTTATAACCTAGTCTTTCTTAACATAAATCTATTTATGTTACTTTTATTAAGCCACCTACAGATCCCCGATCTGCTCTACATTAAAACAAAGCTGTGCATGTGGCCTCATGACGCATGTCCATCATCATACACTGAGTGCACAAAGCATTAAATTAAGTGTTACTTCCTAATTTACCCATCAGCTGGGTTTTGCACTCGCTGCAATGGAGACGCTCATCTTCATCATTTTTATGCTCCTTATGGAGGTTCGGTCTTACAGTAAGTGATCTATGATGTTAAATATTCATTATGTCTACATTTGTAGTGAAGAAAGTCTGATTGTCAAAGTTTACACATGAAAGCTGATCACATTAATTAAAGTTTCAATGTTAAACCACAACACAAGAAGCAAGTTAAAAATGATGTGGTCAGTCAGTGAGGAGATATTGAGATACTGATTGATTGATCTGTCTTGTGTTGTTCCAGATGCTCCTACTGTTCGTGTTTCTTCAGATGTCATTAGTGAGATAAGCTCAGTGAAGATCAGCTGTGAGACACCAGCAGGTGTTAAAGTAAAGCAGTGTTATTTCGCTATAGATGAGAAGAATATAAAAGTCAGTAGGTTATGTGAGCGGGAGTTCTCTGGTGCTGGATTGCTCAGCTGGGCAGGTGGAAAATCACCTCAATCAGTCGACATTAACTGCTACTACTACAATACCAATGAGAGAGGGATTATTGAACCATATCATTCTCCTGCTGCCACAGTGACTGTTCTAGGTGAGACATTTCACTGCTGTTCTCGTGTTTAAGATGATTTTATATTATTAACTTGTTTATTTCACTTTAAACAGACAGACTTCAGAAACCCTTCATCAGCGTTAGTGAAGATGATGATCTGCCCACAATATCATGTGAAATACCACTATCAGTCAGAGCTAATTTAACCTGTAGTTTCTATACTGAAGATGGAGCTCGTCTGTACAGAAGTCTCTCTCAGAGGAGTCAGAATGGAGACAAACATCTTTGTATGTTTTATCCAAACTTCCCCACACAGTCAGTGAACAGCAGACAAATAAACTGTGATTATACAACAGTCATCAAGACTAATTTCACATCACCACGGAGCGACACAGTCACCATCAGAGGTGAGAATGTTTCTGTGTTGCCATACATATAACCTTTAAAGATTAGAGACACCTGCAACAAACAAATAGTAACAGTAGTATATTATATTATTAGTAGTATTGCAGTATTGTTTCTTTTATTTAGAATAAAATAGTAAATGACAATAATAATTTATTTTGAAATGAAACTAATCTTAATGTCTCAATTATTTATGGAACAAATAAAAATATAATATGAATATTGTATGCTAACAATTTGGCAGGGGTGCATTCTTTCAACAGAACTGGAACAACACCCAAATTAATATGTGCTTTCTAGTTTTAGAATCAAGTTCATGTGAAAATGAAGAGTGAAGGGTCACAGTTTCAGTTTGTTTTAAAACTGGTGCTAACGTGTGCTAACATACTTACCTAGCACATCTTTTTTAATTGTTCCTGCACGCATTTAAACATAAAACTGTAAAAGACAGATTTAGCAAGTGAATAAACAGTTTCAGTTTTAGTTTATCTTATGAGAGAACAGGCCATTTTTGTGGCTGCTAGTATGCTAGAATTGCACCAAGTACTGTGAACAGCAAAAGAGGAGTGTTGAAACATCAATTTCGAGTTTTTAGAGTAATTAGTCGGTCAATTAACACCAACCTGATTTCACCAAGTAGGACATGTTCATGGATTAATGTCTATTTTGATCCTGAAACAACATTGCAATCAGCCAATCAGAATCAAGGGATACGTTTTACCGTTTATGTTAAGGCTTATGGTTTGGTTTATGCATGTTTATATGATTGTTATCCAACTATTATTTCCCCTCTGAATTTGGGAATAATTTACAGTTATAGTTGGGTTTAGGGGTAGGGATTAAATTTTGAATCAATGATGTTCCAGGATTGCATCATACTTGGCAAAATCATGACAATCAATATTTAGTCCTCAAGTCTGTGCAAACACATATGGCAGCTGCTGAATTCTGTGACTCAATAGGATGAGCTATACTGATGATGCTGTTTGGTTTGGGATTAATTAATACAGTGAATTTTATGTCACATACTATAATGGGCTTGAAAAAAAAGCATTTTTATGTTAATCATGACTATAAACTTATTTAATAATGTTTTAACTTAACGTTCATTTATCCATATTGTACACATTGTTGGATTGAAGTCCAGCATTTTTGAGTGTAGAAGTGGATTTGGTAAGACAATGACAAACTCTTTGTACACATTATTGTTTTATTTTCTTTATCAGGTCTTTCTCAGGCCAGACTGTCAGCGTCTGCTTCAGTTCTTCAGGAAACAGACACAGTTGAGCTGAGCTGCGAGAATGCTGAAGATCTGGAGATGGAGATGTGTGTCTTCAACATTAATGGAAGAGAAAGTAACTCAAAAGCAAGTTTCTCTTGTCAGCTCTCACTCACTGCATCTCAGATCAGTGTTTGGTCAGAAGATCAGAGCTCATCAGTGAACATAACCTGCTTCTACACTGTGATGAAGAAAGGAGTTCAAAAACCATCTCCTCATTCTGATCCAGTGACAGTAACAGTCCAGCGTAGGTTAAAATACCTTCAAGCAAACATTAAAGTTTTAAACACTGTAAAATGACTCATAATTATACTGATAATTGTCTCTGCAGCTTCAACACCAACCACCACTGCAGATACAAATACAACAGCCCTAGAAACATGTGAGTGACTGAGACATTATTCTTACATTTTATTTGATTAGACTTCCTTTTACAGACAGATTCAGTGATTCAAATATTTTCATCACTCTTGCGCAATAATATATGAATATGTGCCCAGGGCTACATTTTTCAGAACTGAGAAATATGTGCTCACAGTTAAAAACAAAAAACAAACAAAACAAACAAAAAAACTAAATATAAGCTCTGAACGGTACTTTTAAACCCACTGCAAGCGTTCTTCGAACCATCAATTTCTGCATGCGAGTTTGGCGCTCTTACCATAGTCATGCATGTTTAACACTGCAGGTTGTACTTATAATGTTTGTTTTTCATTCTTTTCTCTCTCTCTCTCTTTTTTTTGCGTGGGGTTAAAGCCTCAATGACAATTATGTTAGACAAGTTCAGACTTTCAGAAGTGTCATATGGGAATGTATTTTACTGTAATATAATATACAACATTTTATCTCCATTTTCCAATTACCATACAATGTTTATATCAGAACAATATAAAGAAAGTCTTTCTTAAGGTTAATGTCCTTTATTTTTCCAACATATGATGTTCTTATTGCAGTTTCAACAGCAAAATGACATGTGAGTAAAGTTTAGTGTAATAAGATAAAAGTTTTCTTTCACAGTGTTTACTGTAACACACACAGCCCACATCACAATTTACATTTCAGCAACATCGGCTGTCATTACTATGACTAAAACGACCCTCAGAGCCAGTAAACAATATAAGTAGAATGTCATATACTGTAAAGATTTATTTTAAACTATATTGACTTCAAATCCTAAAGCACTGTAGTGTATGACCATCATGCAGGAGTCAAATGTGTGTTTTATTTCCATTGCAGATGTTTCTCGTGTTCAGACTTTCACAGCTCATAAAGACCAACCCATATCCAGATATGGTATTATTAAGGTTTTATTACAAATTAGTTTCTCACTTACTTGAATGACTTTGATGACTTCTTTCTACATACACAACAAATGTAAATGTTGTATCTAAGCACTTATATTAAACACATTCCTGCCTTAAAGTGTTGGTTCTGTTTGGTTACAGTTACATGGCTTATAATGCTGGTTTGTATTGGAATTGGTGTCATTTTTTCTGGATTCCTGGGAGTCATCTGTGTGTGCTGGTTTGCAAGTAAGTCAGGTTTAATTGTATACTCCATACATTTTTTTAGGGATGCTTGACATAAGCTGTCATGTTAATGATTATACAATAAATGATTATTTTTAATGTTGCTATCAACCCTATAATTATCAGCCTTATATATATTAAAGACAAATAAAAGATGGATTATTGCTGCTAATGATTCACTTCACTTTGTTTGCTTCTGGCCATGAGGGTTTAGATTTCTGCATTCTGCATAACGTATAAGCTTTCTGCAGATGAGCTTTCAAAGTAAAATGAGTTCTCTACTTTTTTTCTGCAAAAAAGCTTTTTTTAAATCAAGATGTATATTGATCAGAATGTATAGAGAGTTATCAACAAGTATCAGACAAAATTCATCCCTACAATTTTTCAAATGAATTCAACTAAAAAGTTGGCATCAATAAACAGCTGCATTAACTCTGAATTGTTTTATAGGAAAACGAAAAAGAAAATGGTGAGTGTTTTTTCCATGCATAGTTTGTGAAATAAATTGTAGGTTATTTATCTTTGAAAAAGCGTGTGTAAATGCTTCCTATTTGGTATACAGTATGCATCCACAAAAAATGTATAAAGATTACTATTTGATTTTAGCAATAACATAAAATCCACAAAACCAGATGTGTCCAGTCAAGGAATTGATATGGTGAGTGTCCATGCATTTACAATCTTATAAAACAATGAACATTATAATAATGCATAAAATAATTGATGCTATACTTTTACATATGCATTGTTATTTAGAGTGGTTCTGGAGAAGAAGAGATATATTATGTGACCACTTCTGGACCGGCCACATCTCAACCTGTATTTGAGGGTAAGAAAAATGTTCTTTCTCAGGAAACGATCACAGATAATTTGATGCTCAGCGACAGACGTGACTTAAAATGAACACGCAGAGTTAAAAACACCTCCACCAGCTTCTCCGAAACTGCCCTCATTTCCACTTTCAAGTCTTCATCAGATATTTTTCAAGATTCAGCTTAAAGTGACATTTAAAGGCAACTAGGTTATTTAGCTTAATTAGACAAGTTAAGCTAAATAGGCAAGTCATTGTATAACAGTTTGTTCAATATACAATTGAAAAAAATGCTTCTATTGCTAATAATATTTATGGTTTTTAAAAATTTTAAAACTGCTTTGATTCTAGCTAAAATAAAACAAAAAAGACTTTCTTCAGAACAAACATTTGAAAAAGAAAAAAAAATCAAAGGAGGGCTAATCATTTTGACTTCAGCTGTACTTGTTAAACATTGTAAGTCATATGTAAACACACTGTGGTTTCACAACTTAAAACTTCCTCAATAGTCGAATATCAGTATTTTACACACACATACTGTATGTGTTAATGACTTGACTCGGCCAATCACAGTTAGCTAATATGGAGGAAGTGGAGAAACACTACATTCATCATATCACACAACTCTGAGAAGAGATGATTCTGCTGTGCAAAGTGTCAAATATTAAAACACATTAAGATTAAAGTTGCTGTGTGTAAGTTTTTGACTCTTCTAAAGCATAAAAATACCATAATATGTTTGAAGATATTGAAGAAACATGCCAAGTGAACATACTCATTTACAGTATCTGAAAAACAATGGTGAAGTCAGATATTCTGCTTTAAAAATGTGCATTATGTGCCGAAACATCTGTCTTAGTTTTGGTAATTTAACCCGTCTAGTGCAAGTTTTTCCAATTATGTCACGGTATGGGGTAGATGGAGAGGAGGTGAGGACCAAAATGCAGGAAATTAAGGATTTATTTAAAAAACAAAACAAAAACAAAACTCAAATCTTCAAAAACTCAAACCCAAAATTATACACACTCAACTAGACTTGATTTGGTTCTTGGCAAGACACACTACATTAAACTACTGTTGAACAGACATCAAAAGACCTCATACAACAGGGAGAGAAAGCAGAAAATCAACAACGGACCAGCACAGAACAGAGTACACTAGGAGAATAAATAGGAAAGACAAACCAATAAACAGACAGGCGGACAGGTGAAAATAATAATTACAAACAGGATAACAAGGTGGGTGGGGCAAGACGCTAGACAAATCACAACACAGCATGTGCTTACATACAAACAGGACTAGAACACGCAGCCAATGAGAGAGCTCATTGACTGCATGCTCACATAAAACAAGATGCACGTGGTTACGATGTAAACATGAAACCACGTGCTACACAAAAGAACACAAGACACAATAAATAAAGATACTCACCGTGCGCTCACATATGCGATGTGAATGTTCCCTCCCAGCGCCATTTGAAACCGAAACCAACTGAGATGCTGAGAATGAACATCACGCCGCAGACAAAACGAAACAAGAGGACAAGAGCGCGCACCCATACCACGTCCGGACCTCGCGCGCCCGCATCAAGCGGCATATGGCATGGTCCGAGCGTAACCAGGCGGGCACTCACACACAATGACAAGAAAGAGGTACTCGACCCAACGAAACACAAGCCGAGCACCACAAATAACACATGACCTGACTAGTGTCTGGACTCTGCCACCAAAACAAGAATTAACAGGACTCGAGTGGCAGGATCCGGACAAATTATGTTTCAGCACCCCGGGTTGCCTTGTTGGAAAACAGTTTAGTTCAGTCATTCATTCAGTTTAAAAAAGGCTCTCAAAGCATTCGACCATGACCGAAATGTAACATCTGGTGGACAGTAGGAGACTCCGAAATCAGACTCACAGTTGCACATGAAGTGGTTATTAATAAGTAAATAATAGGCTATAAAGAATACAAACGTAAACATTAGGTGGGCAGGTTACACTGTAATCCTGTGTCCTAACAACAACATGCTATGTGATGAGATTCGATAAGCAATTTGGCTGTTTGCACCAGACAAAACAGGGCAGAAATTTAAATAAAGCCATTCAAAAGCACAGAATAGTGCACTCACTGCACTCCAACGAAATGGTAAGGTTTATAATGTAATTAATAAACATCAAACCTCTTTAACATTATTAAATGCACATGCTAAATCACTGATATAACCAGGAATGCAATAGCTTGTTCAACCACTAAGTGTCAAACTTACACACTGCACCTTTAATGTGAAAAATCTTGTTCATCAAGTGTGAAACTTCATTAAAGTGATATTATGCTTCTGCACTGCATTTCAGATGTTTCAGTCAATAAAAAACAACATGGAAATACAGCGGAGAGTGAGGTATGAACACTGTCACACACTAAATAGTCATGCACCGCTAACAGAAAACTCACACACTTATCTTGTGTCTTTTCTGTATTTCTTTCTCCTTAAGGATGTTTACCACCTGTACAGCACCATCCCTGATAAACTAGTTCAGTCCAGCGCTGGAGATCAAGAATACAATTTGATCCAGAAACACTGATGAGCCTCAAAACTTGTTTTATCATGTACAGAATATCAGTCGTACAGTACATGTAGAATCTTAACTTAAAAACAGATTTTTAATATTGGTTAAAATGGTTAACCAGAGAAAATGGGTTTCCTCTGCAGATGATAACCAAAAATAGCTTGGATGTTTCATGAAAACTGAAATAAAAGATGTCTAATAAATGGAAAATAGTTTTACACATAATTTGGCTCATGCTAGTTCATATTTTTACATTTTATTAGTACAGTATGTCTTAATGTTTTTATATGTATACACTGAACGCATTTCGTCAGTAGTGGAAGTTGTCTTAGTTGGGTAAACTTGCAGCGCAGTGAATAGGGGACTACAACAAATCATTTTTTACAGTCCTGTTTACTGTCCTGTCCATGGACCGATTTCTAAGCCATGAAACCAAAGCCTTGAGAACATTAGACCACTACAAATGTTCATTTTCCTGTAATTTACAAGTGAGCTGACAGGGTGCACACAAGCTGAGACTGCTTATATGCCTGCTCCTAACCTTGCCCCTTACAGTGGGGGCAGGTCTGTTGAGTGCATGTGCATGTCTGCAACCAGATACGTTTTAGAGGGAGCAGTGAGTTTCTGGGTACAGTTCATTTCAAGACCCCCAGTGTCACCAATGACAAGGGATTAATTATAATAGACTCTTTATAATGATCAGTGATGGATGTAATTACTTACTTTTACTCAATAACTATCCTTCAGCTTAGTCCCTGATTTATCAGTGGTTGCCACAGCGGCATGAACCACTAATTACTTTTGCATATGTTACATGTTGTGGATGCCCTTCCAGCCACAACCCAATCATTTAGTTTAAGATATTTTAATTTCAGTTATTTATAATATATACTTATGCTTTATGTGTACTGGTGTCCAAAATAGCCTGATTAGGCTCTTTAAAGACATTAAAGTTTCAGTTCAACAGTGACCTCTAGTGGTAAAGCTCTGACAAAGAGCCCAGAAATGCTGTGAGCTTCAGTATTTCTAGAGCTTTTCACAGAACATTAAAGTCATTATCTCTCAATGATTTGCTGAAAAAAATCACCTTTTTAAAAGTGCCCTATATAAAATAACAAATCTGCATATACCAATAGGCATACTTCAATGATAAGACTTCAGAACATCATGGAAATGAACTTATAAAGCACAATATAGAGTGACCTTGCTCATGGGGTAATTCATTAGCATGCTCTCAACATTTCCATGTAGTTTAGGTCTTGTTCTGCTTCAGCCAGACCTGCACTATCAGCCGAGTCCTCGGAAGATCAGCAGGCAAAACACAGACTGATATGTTGCTCACAGGACATAAATATGCATGACCCAGGCTGTGTTTGATTGGTCAAAACATTTTCTAGTAAAATTACAGCAAAAATAAACTTAAAAATAAGAAAGAAAAATTATTTAAGTTTATATTAAACTTACTATGTATGTTGGACTTTTATTTTAAATGATGGTTTATTGTAAAATTATCTGCGTATGTTCGTAATGAAGCATCAAACACATGTAAACTGCTGAGTATTGTGTTTAATAAACATTTAATGAGCCCCCATATAGGTTTTTTGAAAATGGCCTTTCAATGCATTGCGTAACAGCTAAGTGAATGAAAACTGAAAGTGCACCATGTTTAAAACTATTGATTCTCAAAAAACAAGACTCAGAATTGAATAAATGAACCAGCTTGGGTTCAAATCTTTTGCCTGTTTGTACCAACGTCGAATCTGAAACATCATCAAATATAAGGTGCCGGATCCAATAAAATGTGAACCCGCTCTTCCCTTTAAACACCAGTGGAGTGCAGGGAATCTGATCAATCATAACAAGAAAATGATTGATCACTGATTACTGTGAGATGCAACTGTGGGTAATAAAAGGTTAAAGCTTATTTTTAAACAATTCCACAGTATAGCCAAGCCAACCTTGTGCTTTGTTCCTGTCATTTTTCTGATAATTACTACAATCAAAGGGGAAATTGCCGGCCATTTATTAAAGCAATAATCAAAACCAAAGACTATTAATATATGGGTCCTTGACAGAGACATTGTCAGAATACAGTTAATATGAAACAGCTTCTTCTGTCACAACCGGTAAATGTGTTTAAAACGGCTGCCTCCTTGTTTACTCTAGCTTGGAACATATGCATTTAATTGTGTTTTGTAACTTGTAAATCACTGCGTGGTTTGTGCTGTATCTCTCTGGTAACTCCTTGTAGAGCTATTCATATATTGCGTCTAAAACAACTGGAAAACAAGACATGTGTTGCTTTCTTTATTGATTTTAATGTGTTTCTGAGCTCACATTTCCCTGCCGTTTGTTATTGCTATGGCCACCATCAGCTGTTCTTACACATGTGCCAGGGTCCGTTTTCAAAATAGTTTATATAAAAACTGTAAAAATAGTTTCAAAATACATTTGCAACTGTGTCAAAATATTACCAGATGACTGTACATCATTGTTATTACACGGGTTTATGGTTAAGAATATAGCAATATGCTGGGATTTAACGGCATTGCTTTAATGCATTTCTGCAATGGGCTCACAAATATACTCTGTCTACTTCATGTTGATAAGCCGTGGTGGGCAATTCTTTCCATCTCGCGCTGAATGAGACCAATTTACAACAGACTGGGTCATCGGACCAATCACCACAGATTAGATTCATGCAAAGGAGGCATTTGGAACAAATGAAGCACTAAAAGCTGAGTGTCAGATTGGAGCTTATTAATATTCATGACTGTTCCAAATATGGTCAATAAAGACCTGATTCTAGTAATATTTAATATGGTAATAAATAAGCATATGAAACCATTTGAGTTTTTGAACTTGCATAAGCCATACCTTCTAGATATCAGAAAACAGTTTTGCTTATTGAATCAATGCAGAACATTGTACCTTTAAAGTTTTCATGTAAAACCAATGGTTTCCTGTGGTCTGACACTCTCTCTACTTCCTAATGCAAACTTTGAGTCTCATTCAGTCTGTTTTCTTACACTCGCTGTAATGGAGTTGCTTGTCTTCATAGTGTTTCAGCTTCTTATTGAGGTTCAGACTGACAGTAAGTGATTTACTTTAAGTATAAACAGCACGATCAAAGAGGATTACTGTATATATGTAATCAGCAGTAGTTTTCAGAATTATTTTAAGATTCCTGATGTTTTTAAACCAACATATGAGATTACATTTGGATTGTTATTATACTTTAAGTATTAATATTATTGTGCCAACTAGAAACTATGTATATCTCCTATTGCCACAGTGAGTGCAGATTATTTAGTAACTATATATTGTTTGACTTCCACCAGACACACTTCAGAAACCCTTCATCAGTGTTAGTGACTATGAGGATCTGCTCATCATAGCATGTGAAATACCAGCTTCAGTCAGAGCTGATGTGTCCTGTAATCTCTACACTGGAGATGGAGCTCTTCTGTACAGCCATGACTCTCAGTTGAGTTCATCTGGAGATCAACATCTTTGTATGTTTAATCAAAATCTTAGTGATCTCTTGAGAAGATCAGGAAACATCAGACAGTTGAGCTGTGATTATTCACTCAAGACTAAACCTGACATCAGATCTCCACACAGTGACACATACACACTCAGAGGTATGATTTAATTGTATATTATTTTAACATATGACAGTTTTAATGTGTCGAGACTATCAATCTGTAGCCAGTCCAATACAGGCTTGGATATTATTTTATATCAAAACAGGAACAAGCAATAAAAAATAAAAAAATCTATGTAATCCACAAACAAACAAACATATAAATAATTATAAGAATTTTGTTGATGTGTATTATATTACAGTTTTTCTCAGTCGCTTTGGTGCGTTTCTCACAACACTAGTGCATTTCTGCACAACAGTAAATGCATTTCTCAAAAACAATTAGTACAAACTGCAAAACCTAGTTGATAACCTGCAAAATTGTGTCACATGCTCAAAGTGGAGAGCTCATTCCTCAAAAGCAAGTATTCATGTCAATAAACATGTCAGTGTCATCAAAATGAAAAGTCCTGACTCCATTGTTTATAAACAAGATAGTCAAATGTCATTGTCATGCTTTTATTATGAAAGTTTACTCTGTACATTTTTTCAATGCAAAGAAGTCAGATTTTGGTTACACTTGCTGAAAATGCTCTAGACAGCATTATATACTATTAGCACAGCCATTTGAAAACTACAGTAAAGTTAGACATCACTGCATTTAGTGAGGTATCTGAGTACAAGACACTCAATATGTATGTTTCACATTTTTTCTGCATTTGCTCTTTACAATCCTAATTTATTCACAGCATTGTGCAAAAGAATAAATACAGCCGCATTTACAACAAACATAAACTTTCTTTGGGTAGAGCTGTGCACAACTGTGAACAATATTGCAGAACATATTGGAACTGAACCTACAACATACACAGGTCTGTAAATCATTCATCAAATATTATATGGGATGACTTTTCAGCATTTACAAGTTTAGTTAATTTTGACTGACATGACTTAAGTAAATGATAATGTTCTAAATAGCAGAGAGTTGTATGAAAGAAACTGATGCATGTCCAAAAACATTTGCAATTTGTTGGAAGGAATGAGAAACTGCTACTAGGATGTGCACAAATGACTAATTGTTTTGAGAAATGCATTAACTGTTGTGAAAATGTAAACAGTGTTGTGAGAAATGCACCAAAGGCACTGAGAAAAACCGTAACACTTCTTTATGGATACACTTTAATCTCCCTTACAATAATAGGCTGTATAATACAACACTGACAATATTTATTAAAAGTTAAATATGGGGGATTATAATCCTTACAAAAATAATTCAGAAAAAAACATATTGCAGCTGATTCTACCAATTGTGTGAATCTGTCAGAATGTGAAGTCTTCAGGCTAATTCACAACACACTGACCGATGCTGACAGAGGACATCAGATAAGATATTTTGCCTGGCTTTTGGGGTCTAAAAGAGTTTGATTTCCCTGACTGGACATGCTAAATCTCCACTCAAAGGATCTAAAACTGGCATGCTATTTTAGTTATCTGGTGAATGTCTGCATTTGTTGTTGCATGTGTCTGTGGCATAAGTTGCCCTTTACACAGAATGAATGAAGGTCTTTTTGTGACAAATGCTAAACCACACACGGTGACTTTACCAAAAGATCAACCTGATACATTTATAGAGGAAGGAAGAGTCTCGAGTTGGTCAAATGAAAAGAAGAATAGATGTCAAAAGTACCCAGTGTCTGACACATCTATAAATTAAAAGCTTTTTTTCTCTGTCAAGGTATAAACATAGTATGAAGATCAGAGGTTAAACTGCAGACAAGTGCAAGTAATTTAATTGTGTTTAAGTATTTACTTGCTCTGCAGCTCAGTAAAAGCTACAATTTTTAACTTGGTCAACTCATGGTCATTAAATAAACCTGCATTGTTGCTTTACAATGACAGTCTTAAGCAGTTGTTTCACACATTAATATAGTGGTTTTGGTATGGTTTTGGTTGGGGGCAGGACGTATTTGTTAATTGAATTTTAGAAACATGTACAGTATGTGATTAATGTTGTTGTATTTTACAGACCTGAAGCTGTAACAAACTTTGCTTTAATGATTGCAAATACTGTAAATTGACTATAATTTTGACAGTTGTCTCAGGTTCAACACCAAACACCACTGAACAGAAAACTACAACAGCCGAGAAAACCTGTGAGTAACTGTGTTTATACATCAAAAATTTTTTATATTTTTTACTTAACCATAAATGTCCTTATGATTATTAGATGCCTTGTGATAAAGAACCATATAAGTTCATATTTTCAAATTTTGAGTAATAAAATGTTGTCATTTGGATTGGGAACATTATATTATATATTTATATGTTATTTGAAGACAGAAAACAAAAACCTCTAAATTTAAAGGAGATCACATTTTCAGTGTCATTATTAAAAATCAAAAGTTACTGTGATTTATATTTCGCAAATGTTCAGTTAGTGTATAACAACAGTATAACTCTGATTTATCATATCACTTTAAACCATCTGATTACTTTATCTTAGTATTAATACAGTAACAGAAACTTCACGTCAATATTAAACATTTCTTTCAAGTTTATTCGTTAATTCATGCCTTTATTATCAGTGGTTGCCACAGCGGAATGAACCGCCAACTTATCCAGCATATGTTTTACACTGGATGCCCTTTCAGCCACAACCCAACAATGGGAAACTCCCATGCACTCCCGGCATACACACATACACTACAGCCAATTTTTGCCTATTCAATTCACCCATCTCTCACCCAATTCACTTCTCTCTCCCAAGACACTTCCTCCGGATCCCCCCATCAGAGCTGAAGGAAGTGTCTGGGGAGAGGGAAGTCTGGAATTCTCTCCTAAGAATGCTGCCTCCACAACCCAGCCCCAGATAAGCGGATGAAAATGACATGACAATTCACCCAAAGCACATGTCTTTAGACTGTGGGGGAAACCGGAGCACCCGGAGGAAACCTAAATAAACATGGGGAGAACATCCAAACTCCACACTGAAATGCCAACTGACCCAGCTGGGACTCGAACCAGCAACCTTCTTGCTTTGAGGCGATCGTGCTACCCACTACATCAGTGACATCCTTCAAGTTTATTATTATTTAAAAACATAAAATACAGCACAAACAAATGTACTATATATATATATATATATATATATATATATATATATATATATATATATATCTTCTTACACAGGCAACAAATATTAACAATGAACAATAAATAAATACAACAATAAATACATAAAACGCAGACAAACATATTAGCTACATATTATCGTTTATTTAGAAATATAAATAAATATTTGCAGCATACCTGTGTATATGCTACTTCAAACTGTTCTCACGCTCCGCCATCTCACAATATAAATAATTATTTAAACAAATAAACTCTGCTTGTCGTAGTTTACACAGGACTGGCAGGAAATATGCACTTATACAGCTTTATTATATATATAGTATGTGGTTTATTTTGATAGGTTAACTGTTTTTGTGCTGTTTAAGGCTCCTCTTCCTGTGGACTTTTCATTGGTTTTTGTTCACCTTTTCAATTTAAATATGCTTTTCCAGCATCCCTCAATACCTTCCTTACTCTGTTCTTTCATTTGTTCATGTTTTTGCAGAGGATTTGCCTTTTAATGTCCAAAGTGAACATGACAGCAAGTGTCATCTCTATTTTTCTTAGTGGACATACATAATTTTTCCATGGGACGCTATTTTAAAATGCAGACTCTTGGTCACACAAAAATATCCCCAAACTGTTTATGTATATAAAGTTCACACAATTGATGCCATGTGGTTATCTCATTTTGACTTATGTGGTTGTTCGTCGCACACACTCACTTGTTGAACATTTACAAATTTTCTTTTTATCAGCTTCAACAGTAAAATCCACTCCTGAAACCACAAAACCCAGCACAATTAGTGAGTCAAAACCTTTACTAATAAACTATTTCTAATTATTTTATGCTTAAATATGAGAAATGTTCTACCCAAAAGTTATTCCTCTTGTGATATTTTGTTGTTTTTATATTATCATCTTCAAAAACAAATCTGCCAACCAGCACAACAAGGCCAACCAAGGGTAAGTCCATCTGTACCTAAGTGGACACTGGACAACAGAAAGAGGATACACATGCATGTTTATTCAAAGTAGTCATACAGACAATGGTCATTGTGAACAAACAGAAGCATGAGGATAATCCGGAAGCGTAGTTAGGTCACAGGCAAATTATCGCTATACTTTAGGCGGCAGACAACGTACACAAGTGAACAAGAAAAGGGTCAGACACGGATAGACTAGACCACATGTGCCCAAATTCGGTCATGAAGGGCTGGTGTCTTGCAAAGTTTAGATCCAACTCCAATCAGACACACCTGGGTTAGGTAATCAAGCTCTCACTAGGCTTTCTAGAAACATCCTTGCAGCTGTGTTAAGGCAAGTTGTAGCTAAAATCCGTAGAACACCGGTCCTCCAGGACTGAGTTTGGACACCCCTGGACTAGACAGAGGAAACGCTTAGAAATGTTACAGGGTATAACCAACAAGACTCAGCATAGTGTGAGTCAAATAGAGCCGTATATATAGTCTGTGTAATCAGTCCTTGAGCAGCTCCCAGCTCAGTTGTGTGTGTGTGTAATCAATGGAAAACCGGAACAGGTGTGTGCGAGGTGCATGACCAGATTTGTAGTTCTTTTGGTTACGGATTTGTAGTTCTCCAGCGATCTGTATGGACTAGATTCCTGGTGATTGTGACACCATCACTTTTGCTCATTGATAAAACTCATTAGATAAAAAAAATAATTATAATAATAATTCAGTATCAGAGCTTGATACTGCAGATGTTCAGTGACATTTTTAAATGTGAACAGGAAGCAGACTGAAAAAAATGACAAGGCTCATGATTGCGTGACGATTTTCAATATGATTCTGCTCAGACATTCTGGATGCACTTTGCATGTTTCACCCAATAATATAGCACACTGACTTTAGCTTATAGACAGATGTCTCGTACAACATGTTCTGATGCTTTAATTTTAATAAATGCATTAATATCATATACACATCACACCCTTTTTAAATACCTTACAACGATTAGTTTAGTAAAACATAAAGAAATAGTAGTCTTTCAAAAGACAAAAGTCCATATGATGTTTTTTTTGGAGTTTCAACAGCAAAGCTCACCCCAAAAGCTTCACAAAAGGACACACAAACATGTGAGTACTGTTAGTGTTCAATTATTATTCATGCATTTATCACCTCTGTCCTAACCAGACGAGTTCTGAGGTTTTGTCTAAACCATCTGCAGCTGCAACCCACAAAGTTTCTATTTTACTTTCTTTTTTGGTGGTGTTGCAGCTGAACAACAGTAGAAACTACTATGACAATGATCCCCTCAGACGTTGATTATGTTCTTTATTATGCGTTAAATGTTTCCAACGTGAATTTAATTTTACATGACATTTAAAGCCAAACTGAAAGTGCTAGCAGATAGTTTCGCTCATAAAACTAATATAACTAGGCTATATTCTAATTTTTACATGAACATTACTTCGAACAAACCAACTCTATATTTAAAAATGCATTTGAGGATTAATATTTTATAGTTACATTATGCACTTGTCCATTTCATTGGGGTGCAGTGTACTATTCTGTGCTTCTGAATAGGGCTGGGTGGTATTGCAAAACATTTATCACGATATCATGTTTCGTATCATTCAATTTGGTTAATTATTGAATATTTGTTAACAATACATTTAGCAATATTAGGATTTTTTTAATTAACAACTTTATTTTACTATTTACAACATTACTAAGACAAATAGTTTTAATAGTTAAAAATGTTTAAACAAAACATCTGATCTCTTCATAATAAAATAAACATAAGTGTTTAAGAGACTCTTAAACTTGATAAATAAAATGTTACAGAGTGTGTGTAATGGTAAAGGTAGATCAACATCTGCAACGTGTGAATAATAATGATACAGTAAACCTCAAACTCTGCAAAAAACTAATTATGATGATCAAATTTGAGTTTTCAAGTAAAGGAACTAACCATTAATATTCAAATACCCACTGCAACATAACAAATTTTGAAGTTGGATAACTACATTACCCCATATGCTAAAAACTCTTTCTGATGGGGTGCTAGTGGCTGGGATGCACAAGAAAAGAAACCAAAAAGCCATTCTGGTGATATTCTTACATCCTTATTTATTTACAGCCACCTAACTGCTGCTTTACGGCACTCATTTTTGTGCATGTTGTTATTTGGCCTGAGGTTACAAGCGCGAGCTCGTGGTTTTTCTTCACCTTCATAGCGTCTCTCGTAACAAGGCGACCATCAACCATTTCCTCAGAGGATGACAAACAGACAAACCATTGCTGCAGCTCTGACGCAAGTTTATGGAGAAAACTAATAAGCACTGCAGTGTTTGAGTGCTCTATGTTTGTCTGAGGTAATAAGTCTGCCGTTATTACTGAAACGTGTATATTTCATACAAAGTGTGAAGCAGATTGGTTAGTTTTACTTACATTAATTGCGGTGCACTCGCAAGTAGGTGGATCTGGACGTTATGCACGCGTCACATGTGCGCTGCTTGCTCACCATGTGCGCCTCTTGCACACCATGTGCGTTTTGTGCACCTCCATAGGAAATGGTAAACCTACACCCTAAGCTTATTGGCATTCCTTCCAAGACTTGCGCTCAGCAGCCACATTTTAATAAACTATAGCCTGCATATTGAAACTTTATATCCACTTTTTATTGTTATTGACAATGGAGTTCGGTCAATAAATACTGATACCGATTTTATCGCCCAGCCCTTCTTCTGAATTTAAATACTTCTGTTGGGTCATGTCTGCCATGAACATACACATTTCTTGTCCAAGGAAACTTTTCTTGCTGCATTGTTAGGACATGATGTACCAATAAAACTGTTCTTTCATAGTGTTTATTGAAAATCATTTGTTGCTATTTAAATCTGTTTTTCAGCAACAGTTACTGTCATTCCCATGACTGAAGCCTCAATGACCACTAGACATGATAACTTTTTTAAAATATCATCAGAATACTCCTCTTTCTTAAAACAATTTACATTTTAAACACAGCTTACAACATTCCTATTGTTTTTTCAACAGCAAAGTCCACTCCAAAAGCTTCATCCAGAGAACCAAAAACAAATGAGTCAAGTTCCTTAACGACCCCGAGACATGGTAATAGTTGAAAAATATTGCCTGTAGCACTCATCTTTCTTAAATCGATTTACGATCAAAATACAACTTGTATGTTCTCACTGCTTTTTTAACAGCAACGACTGCTGCAAAAACCTCACAAGCAGACAAAGAAACATGTGAGTTAAGTTTGTTGTTGAATTCAAAAACACCTACAGTAACAACAAATAAAAAACTTCTGTAGTGTTTATGGAAACTCACAAGTTGCACTTTCAATGTATTTTTCAGCAACAGTTACTGTTATTTCAACCACTGAAACCTCTATGTGCATCACATCTGGTAACAATTGAAAAATATCATTAGAAGATCCTTCTTAACACAATTTTCATTTAAAATCTTACTTACAACATTCTCATTGTAGATCCAACATTTCCGTCCAATTTAAAAGCTTCATCAAAACAACCCAAAACAAGTAAGCAATGTTTAGCATTTAATTCAAACATACACCTAACAAAATTATCCCTTTCTTTCATAGCTCCCAGAGATATATTTTTTAAAGAAAAAGTATGTTGAAATGAAAGAAATGTATAGAGCAGCCTCTTTTGGATTTACAAGAAATGGCATATGTGAGAAAAACCCAAATGTGATTCCGCTTGTGATATTTTGTGTTGTTTTTATATTATCAGATCCAAAGCCAAATCTGTCAACCAGCACAACAAAACCAACCATAGGTAAGTCCATCTGCAATACAGGCAATGGTCAAATGGTCAAAGTGAACAAACAGAAGCATGAGGATAATCCCGAAGCGTAGTCAGGTCACAGGCAAATAGTTGATATAGGTGGCAGAGAACATAAAAAAAGGGAGCAAGGAAAGGGTCCGACACGAATAGACTAGAACAGATGTGCCCAAACACTGTCCTGAAGGGCCAGTGTCCTGCAAAGTTTAGCTCCACCCCCAATCAGATATACCTGGGTTAGCTAATCAAGCTCTTATTAGAAACATACTTGCAGCTGTGTAAAGGCAAGTTGTAGATAAAATCTGCAAGGAAACCAGCCCTCCAGGACCGAGTTTGGACACCCCTGGAATAGACAGAGGAAACACTTAGAATTGTTAAAGGGTATAACCAACAAGACTCAGCATAATGCAAGTCAAACAGAGCAGTATATATATATATAGTCTGTGTGTGTAATCAACAGAAAACTGAAACAGGTGTGTGTGTGTGTGTGTGTGTGTGTGTGTGTGTGTGTGTGTGTGTGTGAGGTGCATGACAGGATTTGTAGCTTTTGGTGACAAATTTGCTGTATGGACCAGATCGCTGAGGATTGTGACACCATCACGTTTGCGCATTGATAAAACTAATACAGTATCAGAGCTTAGAGATGTTCAGTGACATTTTTGAATGCAAAAGCAGACTCAAAAAATTTATTTTGGGATTTTTTGGTGACTGCTTGATGGTTTTCAATATGCTTCTGCATAAAGACATGTGAGAAAACATGCCTAATGTATTTGAGATAGTCAAAAATGTACACATTGACATAATTTTTTTGAAAAAAAAAAAAACTGCAAAAAAAATAGATAAATAAAATTATAATAAATTCTCAATTCTCATAGATGTATCCCTGGGCACATATGTCCAATAAGCCTAAGTTGATTATTTTCAAGGCATGGTATATATGTAATAAATATTATATGTGAAACCTCATACTATACATAAACATGTATTAAAGTTTTGTTTTCTCATGTAATTAAGTATTAAAGTGTTGTTTTGAGACAGATAAAGCTACGAGGCTGATACTACTGGTTTCCACTGCTGTTGGTGTTATTTTATTTGGACTCTTCAGTCTGTGTTGGTTTGCAAGTAAGTCAAATTCACAATTGTAGACAACTAACCATGAGATCTTAAATTCAATATGAATAAACAAATAATGCAGGATGGCATGGTTTTTTATAGGTAAAAGAAGAAAAAAAAGGTGTGTTTTCTCATGCATTATATTCAAAAGTCAGGAGTTTTTAATTTATTTCTTAAATCTAGGATCTGACATTTAGCTTCTTCAAAGTAATAAATGCATCTAAAAATGCAACAAAGTTCAATATTTCATTTACAGCAATAGAATTGGAGCCACGAACCCAGATGTGTCCAGTCCAGGAATTGGTATGGTGAGTATCTTTTCATTAACAGTCTTATAAAAATAAAAATAAAAAGCCTTAAAGCAAAAGTAATAAGATTGACTGAAAGATGTTGTTCATTGTGTTTTCAGAGTTGTTCTGCCCCACGAGAGATGTATTCTCTGATCACTTCTGCACTAGCCACATCTCAACCCATATATGAAGGTAAAAGAAAACCTTTCTCAGAAAGTGATCACAGATAATTTGAGTTTTACTAACAGACGTCTGCTGGTCAGCTAAAAAACCTTGAAACACAATAAAATGACCACAACTTCTCAGAAACTTCACTCACTTCCCGTTTGAAGTCAGAACAAGATCAGACATGTCTTTAGTTTATTTTTCTTTAGCAATCTTCTTCATTTCTATTCTTTTAAAGATTTGGAGCACTCAGAGTCACATCAGCACAACAGAGCAGACCCTTCACACACTTTTATTACTTCTGCAAACCCAATCTACCAGCCCTCAGGTGATGAAATCTTTCTTTTATTTTCAACAAAACGCTTCTATTAAAAGGATCTTTCTCATTCTGTTCACATGTGAGTTGGTAATATAGTTTCTATAATACGAAAGGACATGTGATTCACGAATTCCAACCAACACTGCAGAAACAACAGCGATTACATTTTCTCTCTATAGACCAAAATCAGCATTTTAAAAGCACGCATGTAAGTGTTGCTCAGCCAATCACTGCCAGCTAATATGGAGGAAGTGGGAAAAACACTACATTCATTATAACACAATCTGGAAGAGATTCAAGTGTCAAAGATTAAATAAAGATTATTTATTTTATTTGTTTTATGAGAGTAAATCTAAAATTTTAATTTGATCCACATTTGATAATGATATAAATATTAGAAACTTCAGATGAACATTGAAATGTTAAAGAACATAAACAGTTTAAAAGTAATCTGAAATATTTTTAATCATACAGGTTTATTTGGACACCTGCTAGATGGCGCCACTAAGTCTCAGAATTCAATCATTTTTCATATTGAAAGAAGCAGCTCCATGACACACACATTATGACTCATTGTATTATTTACACAGATGTATGAAAAAGGCAAAACTGTAATTATTCAATTAAAGTTTGAATGACATCCTGAAAGAAGCTGTAATAAAACTCATTCTCATGATACTCATTGCAGAAATTAAAATGAAACACGAGGAAACAATTCTGCATGAAAATTTTTTCCATAAGCATATGAATTTTAGATTGATCTAAGACTTTAGATTTGGAATCTTTAGATTTCATAAGGCCTTAAGTCACAGAAAAATCGCTTAAAGATTTTTAAGACCCACGCAGACCCTGCTAAAGGGCAAAGCATGTTCTTATAGTGCTTTTGCATTGCATTTCAGATGCCGTGGCCAACAAAAAACAGCATCAAAAAAATGCAGAGGAAAATGAGGTATGAACCAAATCCACATAATTGTTCAATCATGAACAGAATACACATTAATGTATTTCTTTCTTTCTCCTTAAGGATGTTTACCACATGTACTGCACCATCCCAGATAGACCAGTTTAGTCCAGCACTGGAGAATACAGTTTGATCCAGATGCACTGAAGACTTTCATTTTACTTGTTTCAATTGACAATTGTACTCTCCCATTCACTGCGCTCTAGGTTTATCCAACTATGATAACTTCTGCTTCTGAGAAACCTGGAAATGTGAAAAAGGTTCATATAGTGTCATAAAAAGCTGAAGTGAATATTAATAACTATTATTTGGACTGGTGATTTTTTCTTTTTAATTGTGTTTTGTCTTGATTCTGTATGCACTGAAAAGCTGCATTATGGTTTTAATTTATTGTGTACTATTTGTTTAATTATTATTTGTTTAATTATTCGGGAAAAGGCAAATTGTACTACATTGTACAAAATTCATATGAATTCGCCACTAAATCGAAAAGTTACGAATTGCCCTGGGTATGTGTTGGAAAAACTATAAGCTTCAGTATTTCTAGAGTGTTTCATTAAATTATTGTTTTTATTGCATGAAGTCAAACTAACTACCATTATAAGAGAATCTGATCTTTTTAAAGTTATATTTAAACATTTTCATTTTTCTTTTACTTAGGTGAATTTTTATTTAAGACTACTTTTCACTTATTTAAAGTCCCTCAATAAAGCAAAGAGTTTCCTGTGTTCCGACACTCTCTTTACTTTCTAATTCACACTTTGAGTCTCATTCAGTCTGTTTTCTCACACTCGCTGTGATGGAGTTGTTCGTCTTTGTTGTTTTTTGGCTCCTGGTGGAGGTTCAGTCAAACAGTAGGTGATTTACGTTCATGTGCTTAATGAAAACCTTTTTGCAGTCTAAAATATGTGTGATATCTGTACAAGAGGAGTTTTAATATGAACATACCTGACATTTTAATAGAGGATTAATATGTACATGTGAGAACAGCTGTCTTTTTAAATAAAAAAAGAAAATACATGACTGATTTTGGAATATTAGTATACTTTTAAATATTATTATTATTGTACTAGCAAAAAACATTACATGGGATTCTTCTGCTGCCACAGTGACTGCAGTGATTATTAACTATGTATTGTTTGACTTCCACCAGACACACTTCAGAAACCCTTCATCAGTGTTAGTGAAGATAAGGATCTGCTCATCATATCATGTGAAATACCAGCTTCAGTCAGAGCTGATGTGTCCTGTAATCTCTACACTGGAGATGATGCTCTTCTGGACAGCCTTGACTCTCAGAGGAGTTCATTTGGAGAGTAATATCTTTGTATGTTTTATCAAACTCTTAGTGAACTCTTGAGAAGATCAGGACACATCAGACAAGTGAGCTGTGATTATTCACTCAAGACTAAACCTGACATCAGATCTCCACACAGTGACACATACTGTACACACTCAGAGGTATGATTAATTTACCATGGTATATAATTTTCACATATGGGAGTTGTAGAAACCATAATTTTCTACAAAATGCAGGCTACAATGCAGGCTAGTAATATATAAATATATAATATTTGTATATCCATTAAATCAAAAACAACCTATAAACAAAAGAAAAGTCAATAACCCACAAACAAACAAATAAATATGTCAATGTCTGAAAAGTGATGTGCTATTTTAGTTATCTGGTGATTGTTTGCATTTGTTGTTGTGTGTCACTGTGGTGTGAACTGCACTTTACACACAATAAATGAGTCTTACTGACAAACACTAAACCTCACACAGTGGCTGCATCTGAACCCGCCTTCTACTCAGTAGGTACTGCATTTGAATTTAAATGTACTTCTCAGCCATTAGAAAAGTACTTTCTATACAATATGAACATCTGCTATTTTGTCATGATCATGTGACCTACCTGCATCAGTTGCGTCGCTTCACTCCCATTCATGAATTGTCTTGTGGGGCATCATGGGATAGCTTAGCATGCATGCGATGCACACTTCAGAATCTGGCCGGAAGTAGTAGGTCATCCGGGCACTTCTCGAATACTGATTTTCAAATTCTATGAATTTAGACATACTACTCAGCTCACATACTGATTTTAGTGTACTGTATAGTAAGTATTGCAAGT